CCGCATGCTGTATGTTTATAAAAAAAAAGATTGCTGTCCAACTAATCATTCTTTTTACTGGAACAGATCTCGAATCTTTCACATCTGTTTTTTTTTTCCAATATCTCCCTAATCCCAGTTTTTTTCCCAGTTTTTTTTTTTTTGATTATAAAACACAATTACATCTCTTTCGTTGTACATGATGTCACGAATGTATCCCATGCTTAGATGATTCCTAAGTCGTGATACTTCAATACTGTTTTTGTTTTATTTTGTTTACTTAGATATTTTCAGTAGAGCAAACGCAGGAAAAACATGAAATAAAATCAAACTAAATGCTAACAAAAAGCGGCTACACTGTATTCAGAGACAAATTGTCAGTATCAATGAACCAGAACGCAATGAAGATGAAGGAAAAATGTCCCATGTGGATTCACCTTCATTGTGTTCTGGTTCATTATACTGACAAATTGTCTCTAAATAACCGATATTTGTTAGTATTTAGTTTGATTTTATTTCATGGTTTTCCTGCGTTTGCTCTAGTAAAGTCAGTAAATGCTGCAAATTGTCGAGCACTTTAATTGTTTCACGAGACTTTCTGTCCGCGAATCTCCCGGTCTCTAGATTTTAACGTTAAATCTTCCGCTTTTTTGAGGAAGATGGCTAAACTCTCATGTTTTTTTTAAAGTATATGTACAAAACTGACATTGGACTTTTGCATGGTTATAGCAAAGTGAAATATCGGTAGTGTTCCGGCGACCTTTCCCTCTCCCCAGGCCGCCTCTCCCTTGTTTGGAATTACGAAATATCAGAATTATCAATCAAAAGATATGAAATTGCCTGAGTTTGTAGTCCTATGTACTCACTGCTAGTATTTTCACTACCGGAAATAAAGCATGAAATTAGCATAACAATAGATATCCCACAATGCCTTGCAGTGTATAAATAAGCGTGATCTGCACGCTTTGTTCATTCCGATTCAAACCACGGACACATACTGGTTTAATTCCCCCACCCACCCTACCCCCGACATGGCGTGGAACCTACAACACTCATGGATATGCCGCTGTCAACTTCCGTGGCCAGCAGTCTTTTCAGACCTACCCATATCTCATTGTATATTCATGTGTATTGCAGGTAGTCTAGTGATAATATTGTACAAATTCAACCTACTTTGCATAACAACAATAACTGTCACAACATTTTTTCCATGCATGCATGAATCCTTTTTAATTACAATCTTCGTTTACTAACTCTATTTCGCGAATAATTTGAAGGAGACTTCAAATTACACTCTGTCTTATGTCATATTCTAGATCTCTTATAGCCAAATGCAGTCTTCGACTACGTATTTTTGATACATCTCCTGGAGTGAAATTCAAAGTTGTATGAAGCTTCTCATGTGTATCATGTTATCATGGCTGTACAGCACTTTCAGACGCTTCTGTTTCTAGCTGTCTTCACGACTTTCCTGGCCAATTTATTTTTAATTCTTAAGCATAATGACTCATGTATAAAGGAGACTTCTAAATTTCCATGGCAGAGAAGGGTTAATATGGAATTCTTAAAAAGAAACCAAAAACAAATGGACAAAATTCAAAAAGGTAAATCATTAATGTTTAGGCTGGATAGCTTTCTTATCTTCGGTGACTAAGTGGTTTCAAAGTGTGAAAGCAGATCTAGACCTTCATCTAGTGGAAACAACGGAAGCTAACGTAGTAGTAGATTAATAAAATCATTATTTAACACTAGCTAAGAGTATCAAACTCTTCGATGCATGCTTCAGTGCAATTCAAAATAGTTTTTACGGCATTCGCATTGATAAGAACAGAAGACTCCTGAATCATGGTACTTCAATATATTTTTTTCTGTTTGATTTTGTTTACTTAGATTTATTCAGACTATTCAGTAGTAAAAAGTGCAAATTCTCTACAATCAGGCAAGCGAGGCACTTGCCTCGGTAAGATTTTATCGAGTTTTCTTTTAATTCGTATCCAAAATAAAAAAGTTCGATTAATGGTGTAAGATAAAAAACTCACAATATGCTTGGCAAAACGCTGGAAATCACGTTTCCGAGTGTCTGAATTTCAAAATGTTTCGGGGAAGCATGCCCGCGAACCCCCTAGATACGACCGCTTCAGTCCGCCGGTCGCGTAAAGTGCCTCGGTTAACATTTTCCTCTGGCTACGGCGCCGCTCCCGGTCTCAAGTTTTTAACGTTAAGTCTTCTGCTTTTTTGGAGAAAATGGCTAAACTCTCATGTTTTTATTAAAGTATATATACAAAACTGACATGGGACTTTTGCATGGTTATAGCAAAGTGCTGTTCAAGCCTTTCCCTCTCCCCAGATCGCCTCTCCCTTGTTTGGAATTTTAAAAAGTTTGAAAAATCATAACGAAATAACAGAATTATGAATCTAAAGATATGTAATTGCCTGAGGTTGACAGTCCTTTGTACTCAATGCTAGTAATTCAACCTTCAACAGATCAGACGACACCATTTGCTCCAATGGATCATGACACCGCGACGACATTAAACGACAAATATGAGCCAAAAATATTAAAAATTGAAGTCTTTTCAAGCGAGAAAAACATCTCTGTTACAGTGAATGGCAAAAAGGTATGCAGTCAAATCCCAGTCACGTTGAGCTCAATTGCAAACACAGAAGGACGACATTTTCACAAATGGCCAGCATAGCCAGGCGTTCCTAGCCGCTCCGACAGAGTTTCTCAGGCCCAAACCAGACTCGTACCCAGTCGCTTCTCCGGCTTTTTTTAGAGACGCGCAATGCATCAAGGGAAGGGCGAAGGGAAAGCGCTTTCTCCAGCCATCCCATCAACCTCTTCGAGCGTTGCGAAAAATAAGGAGTAACGACTGGGTACGAGTCTGGGCCCAAACTCTACTCGGAGCGGCTAAGAACGCCTGGCTACGCAGGCTATTTACAAACGGGAGAATCTACGTAGCACTCAGTTGATGTAATATATTCATAAAGATATAATACAAAACACATAATACAATAGAACGAGAAACAATGGAATACAATACATTTTATGAATACATTACATCAACTGCGTGCTACGTAGGTCACCCCATTTACAAACAAAAGAAAATTTGATCAATTTACAAAGTCTGTAATTTACTCTAAATTACTATATTTACAGACAAAATTTCCTTTCATAACATAAAAAATAAACTTTGTAAATTGATTTTACAAGATATTTACAATGTTTGATTGAGCAAAAGCCTACAAGATGTATACGGAATGTACATAAAATTTACAAACTTTGTAAAATACATTTTTCCTGAAGGAAAACCGTTTAGAACATTTATTTCATGATTAACAACAGCTTCTACATGGAAATCAACGTACTTTAATTGGAATCAACGCTGTTGTTGTCAACCAAGAAACTGGAGAGAGCTTGGGAACTAGGTCCTTTAACACATACAGAATTGTGCAAGAAAGTCAACACTTGCAAGAATTCGTCAAAGAAGTTACCGTTGGGAGAATTATTTGTTTTACTGTTAAGGTAGGTGCGTATGATGCCATTGTTTTGTCCGCTTCCCTTGTTATGCGACAATAAGACTTTGGAGTACTGAAAGTTTTACTTTGTATATAGCTATTTCAAAAAAGGTTGTCGGATAAAATGACGAATGTCAATGGTCGAACGGCGGTTGCACGACCGAAAGTAGGCATGGGTTTTGCTAGTTGAAAGGCAATAACAACTGATTTGTACTGTAAGATGTTCTGTGGTAAACATTGGCTCCATTTAGTCACCATTTCCATAGAAGATGAATCCAATAAGTGAAATTTTGTTTATCAAAACACTTTAACCATAGTCCCTTTCGGTCATGCAATCTCCCTTCGCCCTTCTCCCAATCGCCGTTCTCCCAGACAACGTTTTTGGTGTATGAATATATGTATTATTTACTTGCTTTTAATATTTTTCCTCAAACCGAGAGATGACATCTTTTACATTGTTGTAGGACGAGGCTTCATACAATCTGAAGAATAGCGTGCGTGCCTTTCTCAAACGCAGTGGAAGTGTTTTCATCAACCGTCTAAAATGGAGAGACATGTGGGCTTTTGTAATACAGAAAACCAAACACAGCGCTCGTGTTCTTGGAGAAGCCTATCAACAATGCATGCATAATGGGCATGCGTGCAAAGTTGGTGAACAAGGATGGGCTGCCCCTGTCAGCCTTGTGGTCACAGCTTTTCAGGCAGAGAGGAGCCAAGACATATCAAACGTAAAGGTGACAAAAAATCCGTGATCACTCAAGCGTAACCTGACAGTCTAAGACTTTTTGAAGAAATGCAAGAATTTATGAAATGAAATATATATGTGACCTTTCTGTCTATTCTTCGTGAGAAAATTTGAAAATCCAAGTATGTATTTTAGCCTTTGAAGAGTTTGAGTTTAAACATCAAAATAGCCAGGCGATCACAGGTAGCCCAAGCTAGGTATTTGTGTACTTTTTAGAAATATTTAAAATACTAGTATAACAAAAATAAACATCTTTACCTGTGTATATTTGTGTATACTCTAATATTTGCGTTTAAAGTGCTTAGAAAAGTGAGATGGTCAAAGATTCGAAACACACAGTACAATTTATAGACTTTGGATAATCTAAAAATGGCCGCCTCCCTGGCCCCAAAGCATAATGGTGCACACTGGTCCTTTAAAGTTCAATTATTATTCAGTAAGATTCAGGAATTCAATATTCTGGATCTTAAGTGTTGACTGCTAAGTTCGCGTGAGCTACATACAAGCAAATGGGCAATTGCGTACTCATGTTGTCGGAGATATTAGCCTTAATATTAAATAATATAAATTGAAAAAGTAATAAATGCCACTGGCACTTATAACATTGGCTTGACAACCACTCCAGCGCAGCCAGGCTCACGCAGTCTTGACAAATCCATGTCATGACTGAAAGCTTTTAAAATTCCATTTTTTAAACACGGAAATGAGATGTAAATTCTCTAGATAAACTGCATATTATTATCACGTTTTTTGAGTTAAAGTTTTTCTATCCCCTTTGCGGTATAACCATCAAATGCTGAAGTTGTTTGCGATTTTTATTCTGCCTTGACACTGGTTTCTAAGAAGCGAGACGTTTTCCCAAAAGCACGCACAATCGATCTATTTGCAAAATAGAGAATTGATTAGATTTAATGGAAAGATTCATATCACGCACTAAGGTTTGCTAATACGTCATGGTGAAAATGGGTGTACGATTCTTTCAGTCGCTTCTGTTCCTAGCTGTCTTCACGACTTTCCTGGTCAATTTATTGTTAATTCTAAATTCTAATGACTCATGTATAAAGCCTAAAGGATACTTCTGGATTTCCATGGCAGAGCAAGGTTAATATGGAATTCTTAAAAAGAAACCCAAATCAAATGAACAAAATTCAAGAAGGTAAATCATTAATGTTTAGGCTGGATAGCTTTCTTATCTTCGGTGACTAAGTGATTTCAAGGTGCGAAAGCAGATCAAGAACTTCATCTAGGGGAAACAGTGGTAATGTTATTGGTAGTTTCTGATGGGCGTATGCATTAATGGAACACGTATAAAAACCTCAATGTAACATTAAAAAAGACTATCAAACTCGTCGGACTTATGTAGTTTGATGCCAAAGTAGGGATTACCTTAATTTAAAACTTCAGCTACACCCATGATTGATATATATTGATCTATACATAGAATTTAATTAAATAGCTGTCTTTTTAAATAGCTGTATTTTTATCGTAATATATCATAAAAAGAGGTTCTATCTATGTAAAATTACTTTTGAAATTCAGCGATCTCTGCTAATAGACTTTTCTGGCAATCACACTGCCAAGAACAGATAAGTCGTGGTACTTCAATATTTTTTTCGTTTTATTTTGTTTACTTAGATTTTATCAGTAGAGCAAACGCAGGAAAACCATGAAATAAAATCAAACTAAATACTAACAAATAGCGGCAATTTAGAGACAAATTGTCGGTATCAATGAACCAGAACGCAATAAAGATGAAGGAAAAATGGTCCCATGTGGATTCATCTTCATTGTGTTCTGGTTCATTATACTGGCAAATTGTCTCTAAATAACCGATATTTATTACTGCTTAGTTTGATTTTATTTCATGGTTTTCCTGCGTTTGCTCTAGTAAATGCTGCAAATTGTCGAGCACTTCAATTGTTTGACGAGACTTTCTGGCCGAATCTCCCGGTCTCTAGATTTTAGCGTTAAATCTTCCGCTTTTTTGAGGAAAATGGCTAAACTCTAATGTTTTTTAAAAGTATATGTACAAAACTGACATTGGACTTTTGCATGGTTATAGCAAAGTGAAATATCGGTAGTGTTCCGGCGGCCTTTCCCTCTCCCCAGGCCGCCTCTCCCTTGTACATGTTTGGAACTACGAAATATCAGAATTATCAATCCAAAAGATATGAAATTGCCTGCCTATGTACTCAACGTACTTTGCAATGACTGTCAGAAGAATTTTTCCATGCCGCATGCATGAATCCTTTTTAAGTAATGCCCCGAGTAAGAACTAGGGAAGCAAACGGCACAGGAATGCAAGAAGGTGCTAATTACGCATTGTATAATCCATCCATCCCATTGGTTAAAACATGAAAATCTGCTATAATTTCACAAGTDAGSGAATTTTCTAATATTTTATTTAATGTCTGTTTTCGCTTTCATGAAAGCTTTCTTTAGCTTCAGTATTAAGGCAATTCTATGTGGGGAACAYWGCAAATTAGAAGCATCTTTTGGCTATTGTTTTGAGTGCTTATGATTGGATAAGAGCTTTTAATACAAAAGAAACTTTGTTTCAAAATAGAGTTTGTCCACATTTTATTTCAAAAATGTGTTACCCACAGGTTAATACATAATCAGTGTGAAAATCAAAACATTCGTACATGGGGAACTTGCTATGCCGCAGAACAATAGAGAGTTCCCTAGTTCTTTAGCGCATTGTTACTTAAGATGTAAGTACAATCTTCGTTAGCTACCTCTATTTCGCGAATAATTTGAAGGAGACTTCAAATTACACTCTGTCTTATGTCATCATTCGACTGCGTATTTTTTACAAGCTTCAGTGAAGCTTCTCAGTCATGTGTATCATATTAGAAATGGCTGTACAGCACTTTCAGACGCTTCTGTTTCTAGCTGTCTTCACGACTTTCCTGGCCAATTTATTATTAATTCTTAAGCATAATGACTCATGTATAAAGGATACTTCTGGATTTCCATGGAAGAGCAAGGTTAATATGGAATTCTTAAAAAGAAACCCAAATCAAATGAACAAAATCCAAGAAGGTAAATCATTAATGTTTACTGAGGCTGGATAGCTTTCTTATCTTCGGTGACTAAGTGATTTCAAAGTGTGAAAGCATATCTAGGCCTTCATCTAGTGGAAACAACGCCTATCCTTTGATTGGAATTGTAAAAAAAATTGAAAAATCATAACGAAATAACAGAATTATGAATCTAAAGACATGTAATTGTCTGAGGTTGACATTCCTTTGTACTCAATGCTAGTAATTCAACCTTCAACAGATCAGACGACACCATTTGCTCCAATGGATCATGACACCGCGACGACATTAAACGACAAATATGAGCCAAAAATATTAAAAATTGAAGTCTTTTCAAGCGAGGAAAACATCTCTGTTAGAGTGAACGGCAAAAAGGTATGCAGTCAATCCCAGTCACGTTGAGTTCAGTTGCAAAGACAGAACTGAAAGAAAACAAGTTGCAAATTACAAATGGCCAGCATAGCCAGGCGTTCCTGGCTACGCAGGCTATTTACAAACATAAGAAAATTTGATCAATTTACAAAGTCTGTAAATTTACTCTAAATCATGTACTCAATTTACAGACAAAATTTAATTTTATAAAAAATAAACTTTATAAATTGATTTCGCAAGATATTTACAATGCTTGATTGAGCAAAAGCCTACAAGATGTATACGGAATGTACAAACTTACAAACTTTGTAAAAGGACATTTTGCTTGTACATTGAATTTAAAGTATTTCACTCAAATACTAGCAATGAAAATATGAAGGAAAACAGTTTGTAACATATATTCCATGATTAACAACAGCTTCTACATGGAAATCACCCCACTTTGATTGGAATCAACGCTGTTGTTGTCAACCAAGAAACTGGAGAAAGAATGGGAACTAGGTCCTTTGACACATACAGCATTGAGAAAGAAGGTCAACACTTGCAAGAATTCGTCAAAGAAGTTACTGTTGGGAGAATTATTTGTTTTACTGTTAGGGTAGGTGCGTATGATGCCATTATTTTGTCCGCTTCTCAGCTTGTTATGCGACTATAAGACTTTGGAGTACTGAAAGTTTTACTTTGTATATGAATATATGTTATTATTTCCTTGCTTTCAATATTTTTCCTCAAAGCGAGAGCTGACATTTATATTTTTGCAGGACGAAGCTTCACACCATCTCAAGAAAAGCGTGCGTGCCTTTCTCAAACACTTTGGAAGTGTTTTCATCAACCGTCTAAAATGGAGAGACATGTGGGCTTTTGTAATACAGAAAACCAAACACAACGCTCGTGTTCTTGGAGAAGCCTATCAACAATGCATGCACAATGGGCATGCTTGCGTATATGGTGAACAAGGTTGGACCGCCCCTGTCAGCCTTGTAGTCACTTTTCAGGCAGAGAGGAGCCAGGATGTATGCCACTGGAAGGATACCCCCAGTAATAGACGCAGAAGGAAGTTCTGCAGGCGATATGAAGGATATCCTGGTCTATGCAGCTGTAAGTCCACATCTTTTGATTTGTTTGATGGTAAATTTGGCAACGTTGCACAATGAAATAGATCGTTACACATATTCTTGCAAAAGCTCGTTTTACATATTTCAATAGGTGCAAATCCCAGAAACATCGACTTGTCATCACCCGCTTTTGAGGACGGCACAAGGTTTCAACTCCTCATTGCAATCATGGCTAGTAACAGACCAACCTATCTCTTTCGAATGATAACTTCTCTGCAAAATGTGATTGGCCTGGATGCTTCTACGGCAACTGTTTACATTGATGGCTTTTTCAACGAAGCGAAAGCTGTGGCGGAATTGTTTGGCTTGAACGTGATCCAACACGAGGCCACTAGCCGACTGGGAGGACGAATCGCGCAGGTATTTTAGAATTGATTTGGTAGAGAGGTCATGAATAATAAGGCTTCATTGCATTCTATGCTTAGTCCTTTCCAGTTTCAGCCTGAAAATCTCGCAATGGAACAGTTTACGTGGTTTGTTGTATCACAACACTATCAAAGCACTATCAATGTCTCGAATGAGTTGTACCTCCAAACAGAATTAAGCCAAGTGAAATCTCTTTAGATGTTCTTGAAGATCGACATTGTGCCTCTCGATGATGAAGTGATGTGAAGTTCCTCAGCCAGTTCAAGAGACTATGCATGTTCGAAAAGATATTCAAGAGTTCAAGTGCCTGAAGTCTAAATACCCTCAAAGATATACTGAGCTTGTAAAGTTCTTCATCCAAGTCAAGAACCCATACATACTATCTATAAAAACAATTCGAAACACACTAAGCATGATGAATAGATGTGACAGTATATGAAGAACTAAAAATCATGCGTTTTTGTATCGTAGCATTACAAGAAGAGCTTGTCTTCGTCGTTTGACAACCACCCAGAGGCGCAACACCTTGTAATAATAGAGGAAGACTTGGACGTGTCTGTGGACATACTGAGTTACTTCAAACAGCTCCTCCCTGTTCTTGAGAAGGACGAAAGTTTGTTTTGCATTTCAGCTTGGAATGACCAGGTGCTTTTGTATAATTTGTGCTTGATTTTGAAAATTGCTGTAATTGCTGTTGAATTGCGCTGTTGAATTGGTGCGGACGCCGGCCTACGCCCATTTCAACGTTTAAACTATTACTGATGTCACAACGTGTTATGCACATACTAACCCAATTCCATCTCTTACCAAAATTTCGTCCTATTAAAGTACTTTCTTTTTTAGGGGTATGAACATGTAGTGAATGACCCAACGATGCTGTACAGGATTGAAACAATGCCGGGATTGGGATGGTATGAGTGTTATTTGTATTTTTGTCATTGCATTTTAGAATAAGGTACATGTAAGTGAGTATGAACGAAAATTAGTTCTAGGTTATATTGCTCAGGTTCCGTTGCATCTCACTCCGTCATTCTATCCACAGGGTGGTAAGCCGAAAGATATATAAAGGTGAATTAGAAAAGAAATGGCCTGGTCCTGACGTCATCTTTGATTGGGACATGTGGTTGAGAGCGGTTGAGAATATCAAAAATAGAGAGTGCATCATCCCAGACATCTCAAGAACCTATCATTTTGGAGCTAAAGGGATGAACGTTGCATCGGCGATGCAAGAAAGTTATTTCAAAAGCCATGCACTCAACATAGTTCCGAATGTTAAACTAGACACGTCGATGATGTACAAAGAAAACTATGAAAAGGAGATCAAGCGACTTATCAGGTAACTCGGGTCCGTTTACACACGCAAGTCTTGCTTCACGTCTCACTTGGTAATTTGTAATTGCTGACTTCCCTTAGAGCGATATTACAATTTAAATCATGCATGGCACAGAAAGAGCAAGCAATTTAGTATGACGTTTTCTTGGAAATATTGGAAAAGCAAAAAAAGCAAGGGTAATAACCTTTTGAATTCTCATGTAATTTAATTAATTTTAGTTCTGCCGAGGTTCTCGACCACTCCAAAACCCCGTGCTCTCACGTCAAAACGTTTATTCCCGACACCATAAACAAGATCTATGTATTCTACATCGTTATGAACCACAACCGCGATTTTAAAACATGGATGAATGTAGCGACGTGTTTTCGCATATGGGACCTCGACGCACGCGGTTTTCATAAGAGTATGTTTCGACTGTGGTACAAGAAAAACCAAATCATTATTGTTGGATGTCCTTCGTCAGTCTATTGCTCGTACAAACCGGAAAAACTGGTTCCTATCAATATGCCAAATAWGGAGACAAGACCGCCAACCGGTTACTGATATTGGGATCCCACAGGAGACTCGTTTTCTGGGAAAGCGGAGTTTGGCTGTCCAACTGAGGAGAGGAAAAGACCTCGATCGAATCTCCCATATCTTTTATTCTTTTTACCTGATCCTCATATTTCCAATTTTGTCACAGTGTACATCATTTTCGTTGTATCCCATGCTATCAATCATTTTTGATTTTAGTCAAAAAATTAAACTTCAATCATTTTATTTTGTGGTTAAACATGTCGTTAGTCACTTTGTAACTGACTCTCCCCCGGTCTTCTCTCTCTTTTTGTGGTTACAAGGCATCAAGGGAATATCAGTGGTAAGATATTTAGGAATTCAATATTCTGGATCTTACGTTTTGATTGCTAAGTTCGCGTGAACTACATACAAGCAAATGTGTAATCGCGTACTGTTGTCGGAGATATTAGCGCCTTAATATTAAGTGATAAATGCCACTAGCACTTATAACATTGGCTTGGCAACCACTCCATCGCATCCAGCCTCACGCAGTCTTGACAAGTCCATGCCATATTGAAAGCTTTTTAAAATTTCATTTTTTTAAACACGGAATTGAGATGTAAATTATGTAAATTCTCTAGATAAACTGCATATTATCACGTTTTTTGAGTTTTTTCTATCCCATTTGAGGAATAACATCAAATGCTCAAGTTGTTTGCGATTTTGATTCTACATTGACACTGGTCTCTAAGAAGCGAGACTTTTTTCCAAAAGCACGCACAATCGATCTATTTGCAAAATAGGGAATCGATTAGATTTAATGGCAAGATTCATATCACCTAATTATACTGCACTAAGGTTTGCTAATACTTCATGGTGAAAATGGGTGTACGATTCTTTCAGTCGCTTCTGTTCCTAGCTGTCTTCACGACTTTCCTGGCCAATTTATTATTAATTCTAAAGTCTAATGACTCATGTATAAAGGACAATTCTGGATTTCCATTGCACAGCGGGGTTAATATGGAATTCTTAAAAAGAAAGCCAGAGCAAATGGACGAAATTCGAAAAGGTAAATCATTCTTTTTTTAGGGCTGAATAGCTTTCTTAGACCTTCATCTAGTGGAAACAACGAAATTTGAAGTTTCTGATGGGCGTTTAATGGCACACGTATAAAATATGATATACATCTGGCACATACATGCGAAAATTGTAAATGAATTGCAGTTGCAGAATTATCAATCAAAAGATATGAAATTACCCTGAAGTTGACAGTCCTATGTACTCAATGCTAGTAATTCAACCTTCAACAGATCAGACGACACCATTTGCTCCAATGGATCATGACACCGCGACGAWATTAAACGACGAATATGAGCCAAAATTAATATTAAAAATTGAAGTCTTTTCAAGCGAGAAAAACATTTCTGTTATAGTGAACGGCAAAAAGGTATGCAGCCGTAACTATTCACCCTGTTTAGTTGCAAAGACAGAAGGACACAACAACAAGAGAGAAAGAAAACAAGTCATTTACAAATCACTGCAAAAGTTGACCTATTTAGAGAGTCTGTAAATCTACCTGTGAATTATTCAAATTACAGACAAAATATCCTTTTACGAGCTTTGTAAAATGAGTAAATGATTTTATAAGATATTTGCAATGCTTGACCAAGCAAAACTTACAAGATATTTACAAAATGTACATTACGTTTACAAACTTTGTAAAAGGGTATTTTGTCTGTCAATTGAATTAAAATTACTTTGAAAATATTTGAGTCAAAGACAAGCAATAAAAATATGAAGGAAAACTGTTGTTACAGTAGTGTCAAAAGGGAAAACATATTTCATTATTAATAACAGCTTCTACGTGGAAATCACCCCACTTTGATTGGAATCAACGCTGTTGTTGTCAACCAAGAAACTGGAGAGAGCTTAGGAACTAGATCCTTTGACACATACAGCGATGAGCAGGAAGGTCAACTACTGCAAAAATTCATTGAAGATGTTACAGTTGGGAGAATTATTTGTTTTGCTGTTAGGGTAGGTGCGCATGATGCCATTATTATGTCCGCTTCTCTTGTTAAGCGACTTTTGTGTTTCTAAATAATACTTTCGAGTACTGATATTTTTACTTCGAACATAAAAAATAAATATAAGCTGTTCTTGTTTACTCGTTTCCTTTTTTCCTCAAAGAGAGCAAACATGTTTTACATTGTTTCAGGACGAAGCTTCACGCCATCTCAAGAAAAGCGTGCGTGCCTTTCTCAAACGCAGTGGAAGTGTTTTCATCAACCGTTTAAAATGGAGAGACATGTGGGCTTTTGTAATACAGAAAGCCAAACACAGCGCTCGTGTTCTTGGAGAAGCCTATCAACAATGCATGCAGCAGAATGGGCATGCTTGCGTATATGGTGAACAAGGTTGGGCCGCCCCTGTCAGACTTGTGGTCACTTTTCAGGCAGAGAGGAGCGAGGATAAATGCAACTGGAAGGATACCCCCAGTAATAGACGCAGAAGAAAGTTTTGTAGACGATATGAAGGATATCCTGGACTATGCAGCTGTAAGTCCACATCTTTTGATTGATTTGATGGTACATAAAATAGATCGTTACACATATTCTTGCAAAATCTCGTTTTACATATTTCAATAGGTGCAAATCCCAGAAACATCGACTTGTCAACACCCGCTTTTGAGGACGGCACAAGGTTTCAACTCCCCATTGCAATCATGGCCAGTAACAGACCAACCTATCTCTTTCGAATGCTAACTTCTCTGCAAAATGTAATTGGCCTGGATGCATCTACGGTAACTGTTTATATTGATGGCTTCTTCAACGAACCGAAAGCTGTAGCGGAATTGTTTGGTTTGAACGTGATCCAAGACGTGGCCCCTGGTAAACAGGCAGGACGGATCGCGCAGGTACTTTAGAATGAAAAGTAATGAATAGTAATAATTCACTGCATTCTATGCTTAGTCCTTTCAGCATAATCATCTGGTCAAAGACTAGCTAAATGGTTCGTGCAATTACCCACAACACTATCGAGTCGATATCGAGGCACTATCAATTTGTGCTTCCAAAGAGATTCAGCCTATTATAAGTGAAATCTTTACATGTTCTTGAAGATCGACTTTGTGCCTGTCGAGGAATAAAGTCATCCAGCTCAAGAACCTAAAATCTATACATATTCCCAAAGCTGACATTGAGTCTTAAAGAGATGGGAAGTTCCCAATCCAGGTCAGGAGCTCTAAATCTATAGATGCTCTCAAAGATGTTGTGAGCCTGTAAAGAGATGGGAAGTTCCTCAACCATCTCAGGAGCTTTAAATCTATAGATGCTCTCAAAGATGTTATGACCCTGTAAAGAGATGGGAAGTTCCTTATCCATATCAGGAGTTTTAAATCTATACAGATGCTCTCAAAGATGTTATTAGCCTGTAAATAGACGTGATGTTCCTAATCCAGGTCAAGGGCCTTAAATCTATAGATGTTCTCAAAGATGTTGACCATGTCATGGAGATGGGAAGTTCCACATCCAAGTCCAAAACATAAAATCAACAGAAGTTCTCAAAGATGATATGTCTGTAAAGAGATGGGCAGTTTATCGTCCAGTGCAATTCAATAAGTCGCATTAACCTGAGGACCTGATCACACATTAACGACTACTATCCATAAAAACCAAGCCAAACACACTAGCATGGATATAGCATAATGAATAGATGTTACAAAATATGAAGACCTAAAAGTCATACGTTTTTGTATCGTAGCATTACAAGAAGAGCTTGTCTTCGTCGTTTGACAACCACCCAGAGGCGCAGTACCTTGTAATAATAGAGGAAGACTTGGATGTGTCTGTGGACATATTAAGTTACTTCAAACAACTCCTCCCTCTTCTTGAGAAGGACAAAAGTTTGTTTTGCATTTCAGCTTGGAATGACCAGGTGCGTTTGTATCATTTGTGCTTGATTTTGTAAGTTCTGGACTGTTTTATTGCTTTTTCATTCTTCCAATCTTTTTTCCTGGTTTGTTTATTTAACCGTGATGCTGCTGTTTCACACAGATGAATCGACGGTTGTGTTTACTTTTTATTAATCATTTCGTTTCGACTACATTTTCTCCACTAAAGCCCCATTCACATCAGCCCACCGTACACGCTAGGTTTATCGCAGTCTTTCCGGAGATTTGTGGAAAATTGCTAAATTGTAAATGTGTTTAATAGGTGTGGGCGCTGTCCTCATTCATGGCCAATATAGACCAATAGAGTCGAATGGTAAATAGTCTAACTCCATTCGTCTCTATTGGTGGTCAATACTAGATTCATTCTGACTTCAAGAAGTCACTTCAAGAAGTCATTTGGAGTCAAAATCTGTTCATATGGGATCCCTGTCTTAATGACGATTCGAACCATTGGTATAAGATAAACTCCACTCGTGTATGAGGAATTCAATTGGTTGACGTCACAACAAACCATCCATCAAATATCCCGTTCGTATGGGATTACATGCAGACGATTGTGCGTGTGGACGCAGATATTATTGTACTGGGATGGAATTAAAGAAACCCGTGAAGAAAAAATCCCTGCATTGATGTGGACGGGAAGTGAGTTTTCGATGCAAAGGGACACAATCACGAATAATATAAAGTATATACATAGTCAGAACACTGCCACTTCTCCGTTAGTCCGCATCGATCTTGTGCGATCCCATTAAATTATCTTCTTTTTTAGGGGTATGAACACGTTGTGAATGACCCAGCGATGCTGTACAGGGTCGAAACAATGCCGGGATTGGGATGGTATGAGTTTTATTTATATTTTTCATTGCATTTTAAAATAAGGTTCATGTACGCTTGCGAGTATGAAAGAAAATTAGTTCTAGGTTATATTGCACAGGTTCATTTGTATCTCACTCCGTCATTCTATCCACAGGGTTCTAAGCCGAAAGATATATAAAGGTGAACTAGAAAAGAAATGGCCTGGTCCTGACGCCATCTTTGATTGGGACATGTGGGTGAGAGGAGTTGAAAATATCAAAAATAGAGAGTGCATCATCCCAGACATCTCAAGAACCTATCATTTTGCTACTAAAGGGATGCATGTTGCATCGGAGATGCAAGAAAGTTATTTCAAAAACCATGCGCTCAACACAGTTCCAAATGTCAAACTAGACACGTCGATGATGTACAAAGAAAACTATGAAAAGGAAATCAAGAGACTTATCAGGTAACAGGGCGCTCTTAGAGCGTTTACTCGGGTCCGTTAACACACAGTCTTGCTTCACGTCTCACTTGGCAACTTTTAATTGCTGTCTTCCCTTAGAGCGATATTAAAATTTAAATCGTACATGGCACAGAAAGAGCAATTTAGCATGGCGTTTTTCTTGGAAATATTTGAAAAGGTAATAATCTTGGAAAGAGATTCTCATGTAATTTAACTAATTCTAGTTCAGCCGAGGTTCTCGACCACTCCAAAACCCCGTGCTCTCACGTCAAAACGTTTATTCCCGACACCATAAACAAGACCTATGTATTCTACATCGTTATGAATCACAACCGAGACTTTAAAACATGGACGAATGTCGCGACGTGTTTTCGTATATGGGACCTCGACGCACGGGGTTTTCATAAGAGTATGTTTCGACTGTGGTACAAGAAAAACCACATCATTGTTGTTGGATGTCCTTCGTCAGTCTATTGCTCGCTCAAACCGGAAAAACTGGTTCCTATCAATATGCCAAATATGGAGACAAGACCACCAACCGGTTATTGATATTGGGACACAGGAGACTCGTTTTCTGGGAATCGGCATCAAGGGAATACATGACAATTTTACCTATAGTTCACCTCTCTCGTGTGGCACTTTCTGTGTTAAATAGCACCCTCTTTCTATCCAGTACTCATCCCTGAAGAAAACACTGGATTAACTTCAACATACTACCAGATTAATCGATCAAATAACTGAAAAAAAAAATAGGTGATTTCCGAGATGCAAGACCACGCATATTTTCGGGTAGTTTATTTTTGCCCAAAAATACTTCATGTTTTTACCTAATCATCTCGGAACTTTTTTATTGCTCTATAGCTTAATGGAGTATTTAACCAATGCATCAAAGAAAAGGTCGTGGCAAGAAGGTGGTAATTATTGTCGGATAATTCGTAACTAGTCCCGTTCGGACAGCTAATTTATGAGTATAGATATAGAATTAAAAAAAAAAAGTCATAGTGCTTAGAAGGAGGCAATTTCGGGAGAAAGACCCTTAGGAATAAATTCGGAAAAATTAATTTCCGACCTCGCACGACCTTCGAATTTGTACTACCGATGCTCTACCAGCTGAGCTACAAGGCCGAACTGGGAGCAGTTCTCGGTGACATAGATGTTGGGTTGCGAACATAACTCCCAGCATTAAAATACAATGCTTTGATGTGAAGTTATTATGCGAAATTTGGAAAAGCAATTCAAAACAGTTGTAGACAAACAATCTTGATGCTTGCATTTTTAATCACAAAAAACACCTCAACAATATAATTTAGTTTCAACAGTAACTGTGTACTGCTAACTTAAAACCTTGATTTGTTTAATATAAAATGGCATATTGGCATCTGCAGCACCCTTGTTCTCTGCAATCCCGATATGCYCTACATATTTGACCTCTTAGCTTTTGCACAGGCTAGTATCTTGGGTTTTATTGGCCTTCATTGCTGACAAACTGCCTGCAATGCACCCTAGGGTATTTTTTACCAGTTTTTAAATTATTCGTAATGGACTTCCTGCTCAAGTTAGCGTTAAATATATCAATGACGGATTTCGCGGACATTTAGTTCGGCTGTTAGGCATCCTCGAATTTAATCACAATAGTCTCCTTCACGGTTCCCTGCGCCATCTTGAAAGGTAGCCTTGCCTCTGCATCGAAGCGAGACAACCGATGAGCGACAATGATAGAAACCTTCTTTCACACCTACAGACAATTATTCACAGGTATCTATCATTGCACGCTTAACGGTTGTCTCGCTTCGATGTAAAGGTACGGTTACCTTTCAAGATGGCACACCTAACCGCGAAGGAGACTATACACCCTTTAAAAAAGGTTGTCGGGGAGAAAAATCACTAAAAACTGTCAAAAGGTAATAGAATGACTGAATGGAACCACGTTTCAATCAATTGATTTCAATCAATATCATCACTACCACAAAAGATCACAACTTCATTCAGTTAAGAAAGAGGCAAAGACTTTACAAGGGCATAAAGAGCACTACAGTGAAAACCACATTTCAGCAACATAAAACCCAAAGCACTGGCCAGCAAAGCAGCCTACGATGACCTTTGTCTCTGATTTAGTCTTATGASCCAAGAGTTTCTTCAAGTTCACCATTCTCATCAAGCTCCTATTGAAACAAAAGCACACATTACTAGTCAGGAAATCATTCAGTAGAAGCACTTTTAAATCACGTTAGCGTTGGACAAAAGCCCGTCTGAAAATCAGGCTAGCTGGTGGCTTGAACAAAGAAAAACTACTAAATGTGTCTGGAGGTTTTTTTATGTTGTGAACTTTAATGGATGTAAACTTTTAAAGAGTGTGCATTATGCATACGTATTATGATCACATACCCTAACTATGTCTAGTCCACCAACAAGTTCTCCATTCACGTAGAGCTGGGGATAAGTTGGCCAGTTTGAATGTTTCTTCAGACCTTCACGTACCTAGTGAGAAAATAAAAAAATAGAATTTCTTGCTTGAGCTGACATCTAAAGCAATTTGTTTGTCTATCCTCTATTCCTTGTATTATCTCTTACCTCATTGTCCTGCAGAATGTCAAACGTTTGAAGCGACAACCTACAGAGGTAACATTGTATTTCAATATGCTTGTCCTTCTTGTTGCACCAATGTCAACTATTCAACATTGTTAGTCTTTATGAATGTAGTTTAATACATATAGCTCTATGTTACTTGGTCTTATCATATTAACTCTAATAGAGAAGCAGKGTACGAAGATAGGCAGTTAGGAAGTGTTGGAAACCAACCCCACCCCACCCCCCTCCTTTCCTTCTTCCCTCCTTCCCTGCCTCCCCCTTTCCCCTTCTTCCCCCTGGACTAGCGATTCTGGTTAACAAGGACCTGAACTTCTTTCAATAAACGAAATGAACAGTCTCTTTCCCATTTTTCCATTTCTCATCTTCCATTCCCTTTTCATTTTTTTTTTCGTTTCTCATCTTCCATTCCCTTTTCATTTTTTTTTTTCATTTCTCATCTTCCATTCCCTTTTCACTGTTTGTTTTCTTACTTTGGCTTGTATTTTTTGAGTATTTCACACATTTGTCTACTGAAGCCACATCTGGGAGTGTCCTGGTCTCCTTTCATAAACARCATCACTGGTGAAGAATTTATTAACGATTCCAATCTGAAATTTAACAAACACAGAACAACTTATATGAAAAATATTGTATGTCATAGAAATGTAACAGAGTATAAAATAGTGTGCTAAATTTCAGGAACCAGCTATCTTAGAAAACATGAACTTAATAGCGGCACATTCCAAGACCTCAATGCACTGTTGCTATTTAAAAACTCTATATCAGTTGCAGTTCAAAATGACAATTCTTAAGTTAATTGCTTTTTAAAAACTCTTGAACTGAATGTAAGGCAAAACAAAACACAAAAACAAAATAGTACCTTGTCTTCAAATCAACCTTTGGAGGTAACATACTCTTTAATTCACCTTCTTCTGCCAATTCCTGTACAGCAAGAAAAATGCAAAAAAACATTAACCACTAAAAGCTTGTTTTAGTGAAAGAAGACACTGTCTCTAACATCATTAGATTTATATGGATACTATATTTGAAGTCACCTCATTTTTCATACATGAAAAATTTTAAAACATAAATTTAGATGCCACTTGACCAATGATGGTTTGACCTCAATAATTGCATTAATAATTCAATAACAATTACTGTTTAATAAACAGTGCTACAGAAACTTTTAGAAATTATCCTGCTCGTTCAGATATGGCTCTTGTTACATGAATAAAGAYTTCATTATCTTTCCACTTCTTCAATAGTTTTCCTATAATTCCAGTTTCCGATTCACAATTAACAATAGAAATTAGCACATACATGTACTTTATGTACACTTTCACAATTACCTTAATGATGTCCAGACCACCCACAAGTTCGCCATTTACATACAACTGAGGGTAAGTTGGCCAATTTGAATATTTTTTAAGACCTGAAAAAAGACAAATTCCATAAGAAAAATGCTTTAAACAGAATCCATGAGAAGTKTGRCCTGTTTAACACAWTTATTTTACTACAACTAAAAAATAATACACTCTACTGACCTTGCCGAACTTCATCATCTTTGAGTATATCAAATGTACTGTAGTCTGCACCWACACCATTCAGAATACCAATAACCTGTCTGCTGAAACCTAATGGAAACAATAAGTTTAAGTTAATCTTGTAAAGTTATCCTTCAGCAGCATGTAAGTAGTGGAGTAATGATATAGAAGATGTGACTGGATACTGCTGTTAGATGGTAAATACTCTTTATTTGAAGTCAAGCTTTCGCTCACTGTTCTACAGCATTATCAAGACTGACAAAGTTCAGAAAAACTAGAATTCGAAATAGAATATATTCTAGTTTTTCTGAACTTTGTCAGTCCTGATGACGCTGTAGAATAGCGAAAGCTTGACTTCAAACAAAGAGTATTTATCATCTAACCTGGCAGTATCTGGCCACATCTGCTATATCATTACTCCCCTATAATAAGTTAAGTATTTCAAGGGTGTCATTTTGTCCCAAATTATGCTAATGGAAGCAGTAGTCATGAAAACTTATGATAATTTTGACATTACCACATCTAGGTTCATCTGGTGTTCCTTTCATAAACAGCATGCAGTTAGCACTGTTGATGATGTTTTTAAGTCTAGTGTTCAGGTCCTGTCAAAAAATCAATCAATTCAAAAATTTAAAAATCTATCAAAAAATCACCAATAATCCACATGAATCAATAAGTCATTAATAATCTATCAATAAATCATTAATAATCTATCAATAAATCATTAATAATCTATCAATAAATCATTAATAATCTATCAATAAATCATTAGTAATCTATCAATAAATCATTAATAATCTATCAATAAATCATTAATAATTCACATGAATCAATAAGTCATTAATAATCTATCAATAAATCAGTAATAATCCACATGAATCAATAAATCATTCTAAAATGGAGGAATGGATGGAAGAGAATAAAAAGGAATGATGGATGAGATGAAAAAGGAGTTCATAAGGGAGGACAAGAAAAAAGGAGGGAAGGAAGGAATAAAGAAAATTAAAGAGATGCATAAAAAGGAAAGAARGAAARGCAATAAAGAAGTYCCAAGAAAGATGACTGACTAACCTCTTTAKCTGGTTCACTGTCGTTWACCACAGGAGGCGTTATTATGCTAGAATGATGGTCGACTTTCTTGGTGAGTTCAGGCGCATTAGCTCCRTTGATTCGGTCAACAACCTTCTGATTCTGTAAAACAAAAACATTCAATAGTTAAAAAGAATAACATTCGARGTATCTTGTRCATACTTACTTTGAATAGAAGGAATGTTGGGACGGCACTAATTTCGTACTTATAAGAGACTTCKGGTAGTTTTTCTGCTTCAAGCTAAAAGTAAAAATATTTTCATTAACATGATAATTTTGTTTGTACTTCCTCTGTCCTTGGATACACAAAAATATAAAAAATTAATGTCTGACAAATATTGGTATGTAATCATTCACCATGTTAATGTCATATTGAAAATTATACTTTTTACAAGAAATAACTGCAGTAACAAGTTTTGCACATGCTGACAATTTTAGGTAAAAAATGAAACTCAATCCAAATAAATTTATTTTGAGACATATATTCAGCAGAAAAAAATGAAAGTAAAGAGTAAATATCTGCCTCAAAATGATTTGATTGGACTGAGAAAATGAGGTTTTTCGTAGTGTTTTCTTTGTTGCTGCTGTAAATTGCCAGGTGCTCTGTTTACAGATTTCAAGACGCGAGCGCTCACTGACAGGAAAGGTGTGGGCATGCGCAGTGCATTTTTCACCAGTGTCGATTGGACTGACTTTCATCTTATTTTAGCAAGTGCTTTCTTTATCAAAAGGTTGCAAGGATTACCTTAACAAAGGTGACATGTGGRTTGTCTTTACTTAGTACTTGGACCACTTCACTCATCTGTTTGTACTGTGGTGACCATGGTGCATAAAAATACACTACAGTGAGTGCTCTATAGAAAACAATAGGTGATAGTACAATTACATTATTGACAACATCTTTGTTCACAAAATTTTGCTAATTAGCATAAAGTTCAAATTAAAAAACTGTTAAATAAGTTCATAACATAAAAAGGCTTTTTAAAGAACTATAAACGATGAAAGTTTGAGGTCTTTATGAATAGTTTATGAGATATTAGCGTTCAAAGATGGCTAATTAACTCATATCTTATAATCTCTTTAAAAATTGGAGTTTTAAAACCATTTGACGCAAAAAGTATTTCATATGAAAAGATCAAAATTGCAAGGAAAGCTTATTGTGCTCTGTTGTTCAATATTCAGTGCTGATTTACTGATAGTTAGGTTAAAATGTTATATGMTTATGCTAATGATATGTTAAATGAACCAAAATGTAAACAAATTATTCACCTATACAGCATATTAATGTTGAATGCATAATGTTGACAAAGAAAAACACTCAKATGATAGATATCAAAGCTAAAAATAAATTCTGACAGTTTCATAGAAAAAAWTTAAATTCTCTTGAAGTTATAAGGGTTAGAAGAGCCACAAAAAAAAAACAAACAAAAAAACAAACAAACGAGGCTATCAAGGTCTCAGCAAAAAAAAAATTTATAAAGATTCTTCTATTTTATACTCCTCTATAACTTTGCTAGTCTTTAGTCCATAGCTTCAAAACTYCCACAATCCATATACCTATTTCTGATAGTTSTTCATTATTGACAGTTCTGAATGTTTCCATTATATTGTCAATTGTATTAATTTAATGGTAGGCACTTATAAAAGTGGTCTATAATTTACACAATCTTAGAAATTTATAAGGCAATTGAAAGATCTACATGCTAACATTGCTCAATGATTACAAAGTAAGCTAGTTCAATTGACTAATAGCAAATTAATCATATACAACTAATTACAATAGCAAAAAGAACATATATTTAATATTTGGGACAAACAGAATTTTATAATTAAACTATACACCATCTCCATGCCCAAGCATTCTGGAAAATATAGTTTATGTACTTTAGTGAAAAGAAATGAATTAAAATAGACAAAGATGATCACACAGGCTTGAAGCTTTATTTTTGACATTTAATTACCAGCCAGTTAGAAAAAAATGACAAATTCCTGGTTGACAAAAATGTAACCAGGGTGTTTCAGCTACTTATAGGTGAAAACACACTAACATGAAATTAGAAATTACAATAACAATAAATGGAAACTATACAGTATACAATATGAAACAATATGAACACTCTGTTATTTTACAAGTCAATTTTGCCTAATGTAGTTAAGGAAAAGCCAGCAAATATTAATTATCTAATGTCAATATTGCTTGATATTTTCTTGTACATAATTTTCATCCACAATGAAAGACAAATTCTTAAGTTTTCTTAAAATTTCAAATGAAATGTTGATTTTTCTTCCTGAGTTTGGCCATTTACTCTGTATTCTTGGAATGTTTTGAAGAGGTAGTTGATTGAGTATTGTACTGAATATTTAATGTTTTCAAATATATTTATTTAGTCAAATAAATACACAAAATAAGAGAAAAGGATTTGGGTATAATCTGTTATCCTAATTTCCTTGCATTAATGCCTATTTTTAGACAAAAAAAAACACTTGAGTTGACAATATAAAGTGTTTGTTATGAAGCAAAAGGAAAATAACTTCTTAAATCTTGTACTTTTTCTAAATATTTTTCTTAAAATGCAATGATAAATTATGCATGATTCTCTATGCACCCAGCAGAGTTTGAGCTCTACAAGCTTATTTTTAATTCAAAATAAAACTTAAAAGAATGTACTAAAAAGAAAGGAACAGTATAAAGAAAAAACTGATAATACATTCTTCATAAGTTTGCATTTTTGTGTAATTGATATAGTAAGTTACCACTGTAGAAAAAAATCAATACTTGCTAGRTAATATGTTTACAATGCAAAATTGTATTTATTAACGAAGCACTTTAAAATACCCCAAAAACATTTGTATTGGGTTTCTCTTAAGTCATTTGTGTTGAAAATTGTGATAAAATTATGAAATATAATGCATACACAGTAAAAACATAGGGCAAACTTGCTGACTTATTTCATTTTGTAGGATTGTTTTTATACAAGTTGGTGTCTGTGGAAACTGCAAATTTTGCAACAGTACAACT